TCCCTCCATGCTGTGCCAAAGGCTAAAACGTCCTTCCTCTTTATAGCTGCATAGTATTCCATGGTGTAAATGTCCCACAGCTTTTTTATCCACTCATCTACTGATAAAACTTGGGCTGTTTCCACATCTTAGCTATTGTAAATTGCGCTGCTATGAACATAGGGGTGCATAAGGTCTTTGTGATTGGTGTTTGGGGTTCCTTAGGATATATTCCTAGAAGTGAGATCCCTGGGTCAAATGGCAAGTCAATTTTTAATCTTTTGAGGAAACTCCATACTGCTTTCCATAGTGGCTGCACCAGTCTGCATTCCCACCAGCAATGTACTGGGGTGCCCTTTTCTCCACACCCTCACCATCACTTGTAGTTCATTGACTTGTTGGTGGTAGCCATTCTTACAGGTGTGAAGTGATACCTCATTGTGGTTTTAATTTGCATCTCTGTGGTGATTAGCGACGTTGAGCATTTTTTCATATGTCTCTTAGTCATTTGTATGTCCTCTTTGGAGAAGTGTCTATTTAGGTCCATTGCCCATTTTTTAATTGGTTTGTTTGTCTTCCTTTTGTTAAGTTGTATAAGTTCCTTATTTATTTTGGATATTAACCCTTTATCAGATGTATCATTGGCAAATACATTCTCCCATGTAGTCGGCTGCCTATTCGTTTTGTTGATGGTTTCCTTTGCTGTGCAAAAGCTTTTTATTTTGATGTAGTCCCATTTGTTTATTTTCTCAGTTTCTCTTGCCGTAGGAGATGTATCAGCAAGCATATTGCTATGCGAGATATCCTTTTTCTTTTTCTTTCTTTTATATATATTTTTTATTGATTTCAGAGAGAGGAAGGTAGAGAGAGAGAGAGGTAGAAACATCAGTGATGAGTTATTGATTGGCTGCCTCTTGCACGCCCCCTGCTGGAGATCAGGCCGGAAACTTGGGCATGTGCCCTGATGGGGAATCAAACTGTGATCGCCTGGTTTATGGGTAGACACTCAACCACTGAGCCACACCAGCCAGTCAAAAATCGTTTTCTTGTTTGCCATCATTTCTGTAATATAGTCTAAATTGGAAATATTAATAATTACTGAAGTATTTGAATGTGTTTTGATAATGTGATAAAGTCCTTATTTGTTGTCTAGTGTTTCATTGTTATATGACATCCTATGAAGCAACAGTATTCCCACTTACTTATTTTTTTTATTTCTAGTGAAAACTCAGATGCAACAAGGACTGATTTCTATAGCTGCTCGCACTGTTATTACACATCTGGTAAATCACTTGGGCCATTATCCAATGAGTGGTGGTCCTGCTATGTTAACAAGTCAGGTGTGTGAAAATCATGACAATCATTACAGTGAAAGTACTGAACTTTCTCCTGAACTCTTTGAGAGTCCAAATATCCAGTTCTTCGTGTTGAACAATACAACTTTAGTGTCTTGTATTCAGATCAGATCAGAAGAGAGTATACCTGGAGGAGGCTTATCTGCTGGTCTTGCATCAGCTAATTCAAATGTCAGGATCATAGTACGTGATCTTTCTGGAAAATATTCATGGGATTCTGCCATCCTGTATGGACCACCTCCTGTAAGTGGCTTGTCAGAACCTACATCTCTCATATTTTCATTGTCTCACCAAGAGAAGCCAGAAGAGCCTCCTACATCTAATGAATGCTTGGAAGATATAACAGTAAAAGATGGGGTTTCCTGCCAGTTTAAAAGATTTAGAGAAACTGTACCAACTTGGGATACAATCAGAGATGAAGAAGATGTTCTTGATGAGCTTTTGCAGTATTTAGGTGTGACTAGTCCTGAATGCTTACAGAGAACTGGAATTTCACTTAATATTCCTGCTCCACAACCTGTGTGCATTTCTGAAAAACAGGAAAATGATGTTATTAATGCCATCCTTAAGCAACATACAGAGGAGAAAGAATTTGTTGAGAAACACTTTAATGACTTAAATATGAAAGCTATGGAGCAAGATGAACCAGCACCCCAAAAGCCTCAGTCAGCATTTTATTATTGCAGATTGCTTCTTAGTATATTGGGAATGAATTCCTGGGACAAAAGGTAAGAATAAAGCAGAACTTTTTCTTAATTACTTTTTTACACATTAGTTTTATTTATTTTGATCAAGCGTTTTAGTCTGTTCTCTTCCTCACTGACTTAGAAATTATAGCTCATATAATTGAAAATAATCTTATTTTTCCAGCCTTCATGGAAGCTAATAGGGAAAACTTGTTTCTTATTCATAACGCTTCTGATACCAAATGTGTACATTTTCCACACCAAGCAGTTCTAGCACTACCTGGAGTTATCACAGATAGTTAAGGGCTCAGACCTACAAGACTGCCCCTCACTCTGGGCCACCCATACTTATGACTAACCAGCTATAAATTGGATTCCCACATACCCCTCCTTGGATCTGATAATTAGCTCTAATGGCTCCAGAACATTTACTTACATTTACCAGTTTATTATAAAGGCTAGCTAAAGGATACAGATAGCCAAATGAGGAGTAAGGTCTTGAAGGATCCCAAGTATAGGAGCTTCTGTCTCTGTGGAGTTGGAGTGTGCTACCCTCCCAGCACATTGAATGTGGTCACCAACCCAGAAGCTCTCTGAACCCCCTTGTTTAGGGATTTTTATGGAGCCTCATCATATAGCCATAATTGATATCAACTCAATATTCAGCTCCTCCCCCCTACCCAGAAGTAGAGGTGAAAGTTCCAACCTTTTGTTTTGTTTTTTAATTTATCTTTATGGTTGAAAGTATTACAAATGTCCCCTTTTTACCCCCCATTGACCCCCTTCACCCCACACACGCCCACTCCCTGGGCCTTTTCACAGCACTATTGTCGGTGTCCATGGTTATGTATATATGCATACAAGTTCTTTGGTTAATCTCTTCCCACGCTCCTCCCCCATTCCCTCTGAGATTTGTCAGTCTGTTCCATGCTTCCATGTCTCTGTATCTTTTGATTGTCAGTTTATTTTGTCAGTAGATTCCACATATAAGTGAGATCATGTGATACTTGTCTTTCTCTGACTGGCATATTTCACTTACCAACCTTCTAATCATGGTTGCTTTCTGGTAACAAGTCATCCTGAAGTTATCCAGGCGCCCACCAAGAGTCACCTTTTTAGAACAAAAGATTTCCAATTACCCAGGGAATCCTAAGGATTTAGGAACTCTGTGAAGATGTTCCTGTCGTCTCCATCATCAGGAATTTATCATAGTTTTAGGAGCTCTGTATCAGGGACTGGGGGCAGAACCCAAATATATATTTCTTCTTATGACACATCAGCCTCTCAAAGTTTTTTAGACAAATACCAATATGATCCTTTCTTGGTTATATCAGAGGAATTAAATCAAGATTTAGCATCAAATCAAGAAAATAATCTGGATAGCATTTAATAAAAAAAAATTTTTTTAATGCATGTTGTAAAAACTTCCAATAAACACACAAAGTATTCAAGTAAGTTAGGTAGGAGTTCAATGAAAATGCATTACATAGACTTAAATCAGAAGACCCAGGTTAGAGTCCCTTAAACTTAGAGGAAATAACTCCTACCTGACATAATGGTGAGGATTAAATTAGGAAATGTATATAAATTACTAACATTGTACACTAGTATAAAGCATTATTAATGTATATTTATTTTTTAAATTTCTATGAAACTGAAAGCTGTAGGGAAATAGAAGCAGCATTATTTAATGTATTGTTTCTGTTCAATTTGTAGTAGGAGGGGAGCTCAGATGAATAAATCTTGAAGTAATTCAAATGCATGTGAAGCACTGAAATAGAGTTCTATTTGCTTGCTTAGTATTTAACTTGATTTAAACCCTTCCATTTATTAGAAGGGAATATCCTCTGCTTTACAGGAAAGCCACATTGTATCAGGAACAGAATTTGCCTTATGGTATGTCGAAATATAGGTAATTGCCACTCCTATAAATGCATTCTATTCTCTTTTGCTCTAGAATGGTCTGTATGTTGTCTTGGCAAAAATTAAAGGTGGGAGGCTATATTTTACTCAGTAAGCATTGATTTCATGATTATAATTTGTACATACAGGCCCTGGGCCAGTAGGTCAATTGGTTAGAGCATCATCCCCATGCACCAAGGTTGACGGTTCCATCCCTGGTCAGGGCACATACATGAATCAACCAATGAATGCATAAATAAGTGGAACAACAAAGTGATCTCTGTCTCTGTCTGTCAGTCTCTCTCCCCACCCCCCGCCTTTCTCGCTTCCCCTCTAAAATCAATAAATTAAAAAATTAAAATAAATCATTTGTACATACAGTAATCCCCCCTTATCTGTGGTGTATACATTCTAAGACCTCCCGAGTGGAACCTAAAACGGGATAGTACTACGTAAATAAAGAATATTTTTTCATACATATATATATATACCTCTCATATATATATATATACCTCTAATAGTTTAATTTATAAATTAGGCACAGTAAGAGATTAACAGTAATAACTAATAATATAATAGTACTGTAAACAAAGTTATGTGAATGTGGTTTCTCTCTCTGATAACCGAGATGACTAGTAAGTGACTAACAGGTGGGTAGTGTATACAATATAGATACACTGGATAATGGGATGATTCATGTCCCAGGCAGGACAGGGCAGGAAAGTGAGATTTCATCATGCTACTCAAAATGGCACACGAAGTTTATGAATTGTTTATTTCTAGAATTTTCCATTTAAATGTTTTCAGACCTCAGTTAACCACTGGTAACTGAAACCGCGTGTAAGGAGGGTGAACTACTATATTTTGTACCTATAGAATATATTTGGTAAAATTTATATGTATTGCTTTACAGTGTAAAAAATACAGTGTAAAACAAGGAAGAAAGCAAATTCCATCCATATTATACATGCTTAGTTGGTAATTAGGTTTTGAGAATATTTTATTTCTCATGAGGAAAAACTTTCTAACTATGAAACTCTTGAGAAGAAACCTACAAGTTTTTTATTCTTTTTTTCCTAAATATTGAGTTTGGGAGGCTCACAGCATCTGCAAAAAAAAATGAAATAGATAATGATCCACTGGCAGAAATTTATGAGGGTGTGGGTAGAAATAATGACATATACTCATTTTTTTTTTTAAGGTCTGTTCTTCTTTGTGTTAGAAGTATAAGGCAAGAAAAGTATTAAGAGTTGGCATGAGTAGAGTAGAAAGTATTTCTGGGACTGTTATGCCATTCACTGCAAAGGTGATGAAAATGTTTGTAAATTTATCTGTTTAGGAGGAGCTTTCATCTGCTGAAGAAAAATGAAAAACTACTTAGAGAACTTAGGAACTTGGATTCAAGACAGTGGTAAGTTGTTGGAAAACCTCAAATTTATAACTGACAGCTGTCAGCTATTTCTCTGTGTGAATAATACTATATTGTTGAGTTACAACTTTCTGAGCAGAATCTGTATTTTACTGTACCTTAAAAATAATATACTTTTTAAAAAATATATTAAAATGTATGTTAGGTATCTTTGAATTGTCTATACCTTTTTTATTGCATTTCAGAATCATTTTTTGAATTGCAGAAATTTGATTGAACCTGTAAAAAATTTTTTTGGTTTTTCCTTACTTAGACGGTCCAAATATACTCTTTTGATTAGTCTAAGAGGCCCTAATTGAAATGACTGGTGAATACAAGCTCAGTACCTAACAAAAAAAATGGAGCAAAGAAAATAGATGTAGTTTGTTATATTGCTATAAATCTGATTTCTCTTTAAGCCCTTGGATGTGTACCCATTTAAATGTGGATTTTGATGCATAAAACCCAGTTATTATTTTAATGATCTCTAGTTTCCTAATGTATCTGGACAAGATTTAATGGAAAACCAGTACTAGAAACAACAAAATATTACTTAACTGAAATTCCCGTAAGTCTAATCCATGTATATGTACTACTTTCCTCTCTAGATTCATAAAAGTGAAATTTTTGGGTAGGTGCTTTTTGGCAATATAACTAGAAATACATTAAGCGGCACTTTGGATGTCATCATTATTAAGAATACCTGTATTTCTGAGATCTGAAATTTATAACCTATTTAACATCCACATTACTCACTCTCACACCTTAACTCAAAGTAGTGTTTTACACTTCCATATCTCCAGTTTTTTACTTTTCCTGTTCCCACAATAAATCTGCCCACCCACCTCTGATTTCACTTGCCTTTCTATCCAGCAAATGCACACATTGTCAGCTATTTTTTAAATGCCGTATATATCACCCTAAAAACTATTCTACACTTAACTTTATATATATGGCAGTAATAAATTCTCTAATCAGAATCAGTATTAATATCTACTTTCTCTACTTCTAGACAGCAGTACATTACTAGAGAAAATTATCAAAGCTGTGAATTATAAAGCCTTACTGTGGATTCATGCTCTTTTACTTCAACAGTCTTCTCAACTTTTAGGCAAATTTCTTATCCATTTTCACTCAAACCCTTCATTATGGTCAAAATGTCATCTCTATTCTAATCTCACTAAAAATTCAATTCAAATGTTTGACCTCCTTTATGAAAGACAGCCTGCTAGAACAGCAGTTCTTAACCTTTATTCTTCCTCCACACATTCATATTTAACACACACTAGTCTTGTTAATTAAACCCAGTGATTTCTGACAATTGGGAAACTAATTTGAAACAAGCCACCCACCATGCCATCACTATATTAGGGGAATGAAAAGTGAATACGATTATTCAGGCCTTTCCCGCCTCAAACAACTGCCTGACATCTCTGTCTCTTTAAAATTTCTATGTTGAGCCATCTTGCTCACCTTCAGTTGCAGAAAAGCCCTTTCCCCCTCTATCTATACTTCTGCTTCCGATCTTCTCTGCCTGCTCTAGGGTCTTTAAAAAGTTACCCCTTTTTTTATCTTGAATTTCTACTTAATCTTGCCAGATGCATGTTTGTAATCTGCCTTTAAACAAAACGAAACTTCCCTGTTACTATTCTTCCAAGCTATAGTCTATTCCTTCATGCCTATTACTACCAAATTTATGGAATATTATAATCTTTATTCATTTTCTATAATTCCTAACTGATGGTTTGTTTGTTTTTAACTTTCCTCAGAATGATCTTTTTAAAATAATGTTTCATTTCTTTGACTATTGTAGAAAATATAAAACAAAAGTAAACCATATATTTATAAAACTATTGTTAACAATTGCTTATGTATCTTCAGTATTTCTTTTTGATAGACATATACTTATTTTTTTTATGCTACAAAGCTGGAAGCATAGTAATACATAGTAAGTTATCTTTTTTAAAATTTATATTGTGAACATTTTCCTCAGCCATTTTGATATTCTTCAAAAAAATTATTTATGATGTCAAGTTCAATTAATGGACATTTAAATTTTTTTAAATATCTTGCCCTACAATAGATTTCTAGAAATATAATTATTAGGCCAAAGCATAAGAACTTATTTCAGGCCATATATATTGCAAAATTGTTTTCCATTAAATACTGATCGCTGATGTTACCAACATTGTGCAAGAATACCTATATAACCTGGCCATATAAGTAAATTTATGTAGTATTTATCTTTCTCTGTATGATTTCTTGCACTTAGCATAATACCCTCTAGGTCCATTTATGCTGATGCAAATGGTAAGATCTCATTCTTTTTTATGGCCAAGTAATATTCCATTGTATATATGTACCACATCTTTATGCAGTCATCTGTTGATGGGCACTTGGGCTGCTGCTTATAGCAGTAGGCTTTTAATCCTTTATCATAATCTTTTGTGTATCTGCTGCAGGTTTTTCCTATGTGATTACCATAAGAAAAATATATCTATAAGCTCCTATTTTTAAGCAGATAACTTAATTTTGATGACATACAGAAACTTTTTACTCTTTCTTTTTCCTTTCATTATAGGTTATTGATGCTACAATTTTGTATTGTTTTTATATTATGTACCAATAACAAATTATTGTGGTTATGGTTATTTTTAAACATTCATTTTTTTAACTTTCAAAATAGGTTTGTAGGTGAATTATGCACAGCAGCTACAGTGAGCTTTTATTTTTATTGATACAAATAACCTACTTAATGTTTTCAAAGAAACAGTTTCTCATTTAATATATTCCCTTATCTTCTGGTTTTTTAACTCATTAATTTCTGTTCTATTATTTCTTTCTTGTTTTTTTCTTTGAATGTTATTTGTCTTAATTTTTTTTTATTACTTAACAATGGAATGGTCTTAGGGTATAAAATTTTTTTATATAGTTCCTATCTATCCCTTTAGCCTCCACTTAAATATCATTTTCTCTGAAAATCCTTTCCCTAAACTCCTAATTTTTTACCTTCCTTCCCAGTCTGTGTTTGGCTCTTCTTCTATGTGCTGTCACAGACCCTGAAACACTTCCATGTCATAGTATTTGTACACTGTATTATCATCATCATCATCATTATTACTTCTTTTATATTCTTATTACTTCTTTCCAAAAGCAGTTGTAATAACTCTCTAAATAGTTTATGAGATGTGACATCCTAACTGTTCCTCATAATAATTGATCATTGGTACTAGATTCAAGCCCTTGAGAGTAGGAATTACATCACTTTTGCTGTCTTGCTCACCATGTGTTCTCAGACCTCTACTGCTCTATTGAAACTATTCTTCTGAAGGTTAGTACCCCTGCCATCAAGTCTAAAGATTTCTCAGTCCTCATCAACCTCTTTAATTTATCTAATTAATTTAATTAACTCAATAAGAATTTTTTTAAATCACAGCAATTTTAGGTTTACAAAATAATTGTTTGCAAAGTGCATAGAATTCAAGCGTACATTTCCCCCCTACAAATAGTTACCCTTTAATTTATATCTCATATCATCTGTGGCATATTTGTTAATTGATGAGCTGGTATTAACATATTATTATTAACTGAAGTTCATAGTCTCAAATTCACTCTTCGTGTTGTACATTGTGTGAGTTTTTACAAATGTATGATAACATGTATTCATCATTATAATACCATATGGAGTAGTTTCGCTGCCCTAAAGAAACCCTGAATATTATATCCCCTAAAAGTTTAATACTTGTCTATTCTTTTTTTCAATGTTCTTTTTTCCTGACTTATGTAACACTAAAATTATCTTATTCAACTCCTAATTCTCTAATCATTTCCTGTTTGTCTTCACTGACTCAACTTCTACCTCCTACGCCATAACATAGTTATACCTTTCATTGGGATATCTCTCATATCTTCTCACCCCCATTCTTTTCTGTCCATTATTCCCATCTCTCAATTCTCAGTCATGATTTTGTTGCTGCCTACTATAAATTTTTACCTACCTACTTATTACATTTCCAGGCCACCATTTCTTTCCCAAATCAGATCGTCCTGCTGATTTTCCCAATTATGTTTAGAAGTACCATTTCAGTCACCCAAACTTCACTGTTTCCTTTCCCTTAGCCTTAGATTGTCATAATCATTATGTCATTCTTTCTTATGACCTCTCACCTCTGTCTCCTTTTCCTGATACCAACCCCTTTATTCATGATTTTATTACTCCTTTCTAAGAGAGTTATAACAACTCTCTAAGTAGTCTGTAGACTCTCATCTCCAGGCTGTTTCCCATCTAGACAGTCCTCAGTACCAGAATAATCTTTGTAAAGTAAAATTTTTATTTTATTCCTTAGTGACTTCCCAATGCCTGACCAGTCTCTTTAGTGTAGGTCAGTGATTTTCAACCTTTCCATCTCTTGGCACACATGAATTAATTACTAAAATTCTGCAGCACACCAAAAAATACATTTTTTTGCCTGACAAAAAAAAAAAGGTATAATATGGATTCATTCATACCAGATGGCTATTGTTTTGTTGGCCATTGTCATCTTTTTATTTGACACTCTAAGGGAAAAGAGGTCAGTGCTCCTGACTAGTCAGGTATTGCATGTTTTAAAAATTCTTATGGCACACCAGTTGAAAATTACTGGTACTCAGGCCATAGCAGCCAAATCTTGCCTATTCATGGTTTTTTTTACATTACCTTCTGCTTTTCTACTACTTGGCTTCTGCTAAACTAATTTCATTCTCATGTATACTTTGAATACATAGAGGACATCTTCCTTGAGACAGCATAAATTTTTTTTATACTCTATATCAAATGAACCCATGACATTTTTTGTCTGCTTTATTTATTTATTTATTTGCTTATTTGTTTGTTTATTGTTGATTTAAAGGGAGGGGGTCAATTTGTGGTTCCACCTATTCATTTATTCATTGGTTGCTTCCTCTATGTGCCCTTACCAGAGATGAACCCGCAACCTTGGCATAATGGGACAATGCTCTAACCA